ATATATATATATATATATATATATATATATATATATATATATATATAATATAAAAAATTTTAAAGGGCGATGTTTTAATTCAAAATAAGACAAAAATCAAGAATAAAGAAATTATTACCTGAAATATCTTCTCGCTTTCAAGGATATTTTCGTCTATTTTATAAATCGTTAATAAAAAAGATTTTTGTTATTCTTGATAGCCATTCTTTTATTTTGGCTTTTTTTTCTTTTAAATACCTACAGCCGAACTCTCTGTACATGTATATATTTCAATTCCGCTCCATCACGTTCGATTTCTGTGATCTCAACATGACAAGGACCGATCGCATTTCACGCTTGTTCCCCGAACAGAATATTTCCGGAATAAATAAATGCATGCTAGCCTGCTTGTTAATTACTTTTCGAAGGGCAAAGCATGCTGCAACACAGTTTTTCAATGGTGAATCAATCGCGCGGAATGAATTGCATTTGACGCGACAATCCAACGAAAGATATGGCTTTACAAAGGCATGGACGCATATTTAACGGGCAAATGACGAAATATCGATGCATCAGCGAAAATCGATAGATAGATAGGAGGGGATCCATTCGATTATCGATGCATACTACAATATTGGTAATCGCGGTGCAATAACGGTCCTCTAGATCTAATTTTCTCCTTAATCGATCCGGAGTAGCGTTGCGTGGATTTTGGGGAGTCCGGGAATTTGCAACGAGATGAACTTTGTTTTGTGAATATTCGATCGATATGATGGAAGTTTTTATTCAATATTTATCTGAAACATTTTTTGTTGTTATCAAAAACAAATCAAATTCTCAACAAATGACAAAATTACACGACTTACTTTGTAATAATTGTATTCCTGAAATATTCTATTAAGAAAATGACAAAAGAATATTTAATGTTGCAAAAAAAGCAATCCTAAAAGGTAAGTATGTAAACGGTAAGTATCCGTAGAATTAAGAAAACTGGAAAAAAAAAAACAGAAAAATGTTCTTAATAAATGGCAGCTACAATAGGTAAGTATAATAAAAAGGTAAGTATTTTACAAGTAAGTATAATAAAATTTGAACGAAAATTTTGCATACCACTTCTTTATATGTCATATTCTTCTGATATAAAATCACAAAATTCTAACTGCATATCCAAAAATTTTATGACTTACATAAAATTTTAAGAAGAATTTCATGTGCCATCTCTTCTCAAGTTATATTCTCCTAGTACAAAATTGAAATTTTTATCAAAAAAAAATTTGTGTTCAAATATACATAAAATACATAACAAACATGTAAAAATGTATATAAGGTATTGAAAATTTTTTTTTGTTTGAAAATCTTTGAAAAAACTCCTTTTAGTCTGGTCTATTTAAGATACAATTATCAAAGATATTTCTAAATATTATTAGTACATTTTGTTCGTCGCGTTTTCGAAATGAAATATATTTTTCTTGTTATTTTTCTTTTGTTTTTTCCTCTTCATTTCCTAAAAAGATAGAATTCATTAGAATAAAAATAAGTATTAATACTTAAAGTAATAAAAATATGTATAATTTTTAACAGACCTCAGGAAATTATTACATTTATTTATTAATGACCAATTTTGGTTGAAAAGCTACAAATAAAAATATAACAAATATTAAAAGACAAATATATTTTTATTACTTTAGTTCAATATATTATGCCATATTATAGCAACTAATACTTACAAAATATTTATTGTTAGAATAGAAAATAAAGAAGAATGTTTTGTATTATAAATCCTAATTATTTACTTTTTTTCCCATATTTTCAATTAAATTAATTCAAAAATTAAAATTATATTAATAACATTTTTTAAAACCTGAAAATATTTAAAATCTAGAACAATTTTTTTAATTTTTAGTTGTTTTCTTTACAGTTTTTGTATTAAATATGATCTATATAAATTACTCCATTCCACTGTTTTAATTTTTAATATATTGACATATAACAATATTTTCTCAATATAAAGCCTGTTTTTAAAGTAAGAATAAACGAATAACTATAAGAATGTATACGATTTATTTATAATAAAAAAAATAACCTAAAACACAATGTATTATTTATATGATGAAATATTTACTTACATATGTATAACATGTATATTCTTCAAATATAATTTCTTCAGAAAAATATTTTTCTTTATTATTCTCCTTTATATTATTAAATATTCTTATTTAAATAAATAATTTATAAATTATACTCTATTTATTTACGTTCTTTCCTTGATTCTATAAATTTTGAATGGAATCCATTTTATCGATAAGTTAAACGAAAATTTAAACATTTTCTAGGATCAACGCCATCTCGCGTTTGGATCACCGAAGCTCCGACTTGTTATTAGCATAGCAGAATGTGCAAGGAGGTATGCGAATTCGCGTGACGTCACAGACAAGGAACGCAACACTGTGCGAGAAAGACAGAGAGAATTTTCCACCATTACAATGACGCTACATGGAAAATTCATTAATTTCTTATTTTCTACCAAAAATTTCGATACTTTTGAGCTTGCATCTTGAAGTTAGAACTTCAAACAAACTTCTCATAACAATTTTAATGCAAAATTCTTTTTAAATAATTATTTATTAACGATTAATTCGTCATACTTTCTATTGCATCGAAGACGCCATATTGAAAATTCATTAATTACTCGTTTCCTACTAAAAATTTCGACACTTTTAAGCTTGTATCTTGAAGCTAGAACTTCAGACAAGCTTCTCGTAACAATTTTAATATAAAACTTTTTTTAATTAATTATTTATTAACGATTATTATACAGAATATCTCAGTTGTAAACCTTCGCTCGATAATCGAGTAATAAACAATTAGTTTATTTATTTAAATAATAGTAAAATTATGCATAAAATTTATATGTGAAGCTTGTCTGAAGTTCTAGCTTCAAGATACAAGCTTAAAAGTGTCGAAATTTTTAGTAGGAAACGAGTAATTAATGAATTTTCAATATGGCGTCATTGATGTATTAGAACATACGTCGCATTAATCGTTAATAAATAATTAATTAAGAAGAATTTTGCATTAAAATTGTTATAGGAAACTTGCCTGAAGTTCTAGCTTTAAAATAAGATCTCAAAAGTGCAGAAATTTTAATTAGAAAATGAATAATTAATGAATTTTCAATATGGCGTTCTTGGATTGGCGGGAAATTCTCTCTGTCTTTCTCGCACAATGTTGCGTTCCTTGTCTGTGACGTCACGCGAATTCGCATACCTCCTTGCACATTCTGCTATGCTAATAACAAGTCGGAGCTTCGGTGATCCAAACGCGAGATGGCGTTGATCCTTGACAATATTTTTTCTGTTCAACGCAAAAATATATTCCCTTTATAATTGCAGAATAGATGTGAAGAATGATCTTTGTCAATTGAACAAAAAAAAAAAAAACGAAAATATTTTAAAATCTGTAATTTTTTTTAATAAATTTAAATTTTACTAAACGAAATAGTCGTTATACATTATATTACATAATTATAATATTTATAATTATATTGCAGAATAATTATATCAAATTAAATCGTAAAATTTTGATATATCTTGATTAAAACAAGAATCGTTTTTATTATGATGTTTTCTTCATATTATAGGATAGAAAATAAATATAACAGCAATTCTATAATATTTGAATGCTTGCTAACAAAAATAATCTGTGTGTTTAGAAGCAAAAAACTTGTCTTGGAAAAATTAAAAGAAAAGAATTTCTCAGAAAAAAGGGAAGAAAAAGTGAAAAATACACAAATATAAAATATATATAAAATATATTGTACCATATAGAAATATACAATATGCAAAAATATAAAAATATTACGAAATCTATTACTATTAATAGATATTTTCCAATAGTTCAATATAAAATTAATATTATAAATATATATAAACATTTTAATTATTCTTTAAATTTAACATCATGTCAATCTGAAGATTTAAAATATGAAATTTTAGAATGTAACAAAATATACAACAAAAAATATAACATTTAAAATCTGTTATTGCTTTATTTTTCTTTGGGTTTCTTCGATTTTCTTTTTCTTCTTTTTTTTCCCCATTCTTTTTCTTATTCTTCTTAATCCTCTTCTGTCTTTTCCTCTTCTCTTCATGTCTATTTCTTATTTTTATGATCCTTTCATATCTTTTATACTTTCTCAAAATTTGCTCTGCTTTGCTGCCTTTCACATAAAATAATATATAAATTATTTATAAAGACAAAATATATAAAAAATACATAAAATATGCGACACGTAAAAATATATTATATATCTCAAAATATTATAAAAATAAAAAGTGAAGAAATTAATCTTATCATAAGACCAATATTTCTTTAAGAAATTCTCTCAAAAATTAATTCTATGCTAATCTTTACCAATCTATAAATAACATACAAAACAGGTTATTCCCTAATTTATTATAAATACAGAGAAGCAATGTACCTGCACATTGGTTCAAGCGGCGCGATGAAAAATTTCAATTTTCGCCAAACTATCTCCAATATACAACGGATCATCCTGGCAGCCGTTCTATTTTTCAAGGGATTTTTCACTTTCGAGGGCTTCCGTTGATCGCCATGTTTCAGGATGCACGGGACGTATAGCTTCCGTGCCTGTGTTATAAATTGATTGACGCGTCTGTCAAATGCAATGACAATGGGTATAACGTGATCAGCAGTGTGTCGATCGATGTGAATAATTGTGATGCTATTACAAATCGAATGATCATTTTGATTCAACTGTTAATTAGCGATGCCTGTGGCTAACATTCATATATCTTGCATAATGCGTGATGTATGGATCCTCATTAATGAACTCATTGTATTAAGTTGTTCCAAGTGAATTGTCGTTTTCTTTCTTACTTCAATTATCTGTAACAATACCAAGTTTAACTATATTACATTAAATTTAATTTTCTTATATATCTATTTTTATAACAATTTACTATTTTTATACAATTCTATTCTATGAAATTAGATTTTAAACAAAATTTGAATCATGTTTAATCATCTGATATAATTTTAATTTAATTAGATAGATTGTTTTGTACTATTTTCTTAAATAACATAAATTATATTTTATATGATTATATGAAACTAACAATATATCTAAATAATAAATTTTCTTTGAATTATTTTATACATTCAGTAAAATTAAAAGATTCTTTAAAAATTAATTTAAGTTAATATATATTCAAAAGAAAATAAAATGCGGAAAATGATAATTCGGTTCTAAGCACATAAATGTGTCAATTATATCAGAGATATTTTAATTAAATTAAAAATATAAAAAAGAATTTCAAAGCAATTGTTTCTAAAGATAGTACAAAATATGGATGCAAGATTTTTTTGCAATCTTTAACTTTGAATCATAAACTTAATTTAGATCATCTTTGTTTAATGATAATTATATTAGGTGATTAAATGCATGCCTATAAAAAATGTGATATATTATTCTCATTTAGAAAATGGAACTAATTTTATCAGATTATCTTCAATTGATCAATGTCGTAATAAGATTAATTTTAACATGATTACATTTATCTTCTCTACCTTAATTTTTTACTTTCTAAAAATTTTTTCATTAAAGAGATTAAAAGATTACAGGTTGTATAACAAAGTATAATTTGTAGTCTTTTGTGACTGATTGTGAAGTTTATACTTTTGTATGATAATTCTGATCCATAAATAAAAATACAAATGTCTAAAATTTTCATCTTTTCTACTAATATTATTTATTTTAATCTTTCTTATTAAAATTTTAAATATTAAAGCTTTATATCTTATAAAAATATTAAAATTTTCTATTTTTCCTACTAGAATTTTTTTTATTTTATATTCAACATTTTATTATATTAAAAATCTTTTCAGATATAAAAATACCATCACAAGAATTTAAACGCTTTTTCAATCTATTCCTACAAGAAATTGCATTGCAATTTCCTTTCAAATATCTACAGAAAACACGACCAGTGTTTTCACAGTGCTTCACGAATTCGTTTACACGATCAAATTTATATTCTCCTCGAACGAGAGAAACTTTCATGATGTCAAAATATTCATATCCATTAAAACTGGAATCTTTCGCTCGCATGAAGTTATCCAAGTGCATTAACTTTTTATAAAGATTCAACGTTCCAAACAATATCACAGCCTCACGATCAATTTTTAAAATTTGATTATTCTTTCATGCAATGAAACTGATCGAGAGAGCCCACTATTTTTTCAGACCTCTTACACGTTTGCACTTCGATCTTACCATCGTGAAGAATTAATATCACGAGTCGAGAACTCGTTTTTAATGAACTGGATGTCCTCGAAATATTTCACGTTATGGCCAGGTAATGAACGACTTTTAAAAAATGTGACCAACTCATTGAATTTTTTAATGAATTCTTTTATCGATTGTAATTGCCTGTAATTTTGCTATTGAAAGTTAAATGTTATCGTGGACACAGGATCTATCTAGGATTTCACGCAATTTGATCTAAAACTGTAGAGGATAAAGGAAAATTTTGTTAAAATGTAAAATTTAATTTTATGAGAATTTTAATGTAATAATTTTAAATATAAAAATTTTAAATATAATACCTTTAAATCTTCTTTAAAAGATGCGACAATTTATTATATTTTTAATGGATTCTTTTATTGATTGTAATTATCAGGATGTTGTTACTTGAAATGTTCATTTATAGATATACATTATGGATACACTTCATATAATTTAATCAAATTCTGAAATTAGAAACGTAGAAGAGGATAAAGAAAAATTTTAACAAAATGTAAAATATTCTAAGATATTTTATAAAAATATAACTTGCTTTAGGCTAATATCTTTAAATCAGTAGAACATAGAAAAAACTTATTAAAATTTAATTTTATAATTTCGATTTTTGAAGCATTACAAAATTACATTATGATAGTTCAAACATTTCTTCAAATTATTCTAAATAAAACAAAAATATTCTAAAATATTCTAAATGAAGTTTTATGAAAATTAAAAAACATGTTTTTAATTGCATAATATAGTAAATATATAAAACTAAAATATCAAATATAACAAAGAATGAATCTATATCTAAATTACAAGTAAAAAAAAAAAAAAAAAAACTACATTATTCATCCATCTATAAATTTATATATTTCAAAAGAAAATCTTTGATGGTTACGTGTTCTTTTTTGAATATCAAAGTGCTCTTCTCGACTGTTCCGTTCTTTTTTCCTAGAATTCTCGTTATGCATCGAGGATCTTGATGTATATGCGACTTAATTGAACTGACACGTGGAATGCGAGCAAATACATATATCACCCGCATAAAGTGAATCTTGGATCATTTTGAAGCATTGCATTGCCTGACACCCATGTATAACATGCAATTTCAAATATGATGGAGTGCTTATGATGCAGTTAAATGCAAAATGGATACTCTTAAAAATGATACTTATTTTTTGCACATTTTTCTCCTTTTTCAGCATTCATATTTAAATATTTCAAATAATAAAAAAATATACAGCTGCTTCCTTTGTACTTGCAGTTTTCATTGCAATTTTACAATAGGTAATTTCTTTTTATCAACAACATCTGTATTCTAAGAATAGAAAAAATTTTTTTCAATTTTTATTACTCTACTACATTCATAAAAAAAAAAAAAAAGAAAAAAGAAAACAAACTTACCTTCGAACTTACCTCAGGTTCCTGAAATAAATCATTGCTCCTGTAGAGCAGTAGAAGAAACTTGGATTTCTAAAAGAAAATGTTCTTGGTCGCTATTTATTTATTGTCAAATTTCAGAACTTCTGCCTTACAGAACCCTGTCTCTATTGTACAACACGACCACCTCCTCATTGACAAGTCTCCTGAAAAAAAAAATGAAGAGATTAGAGCAAGAAATAGAAAATAAATAAATAGAAAAAAAAAAAAAAATAACCTAATTTTAGCGCCAAAAAATATATTTTCAAAAATCGAACGATTCGTTATAATAATATAATAATGATGATAATTCATATTCGAAATTGCAATCAATACGATAAAATCGAAATATAATAATATCAATTTATCTCTTAGATAAAATAATAAAAATCTTCGTTCATACGATTTATCGTCATAACGGGTTTAAATATTAAATTACAAAAGACCAAAATTTTCAAAATTCCCCCCAAAAAATAATAATCGAATACTTTTAACAGCCACCCATAATAAATCGAAAAGGCAACAACCAACCAACCAAACAAACAAATTCATATATTCGAAACTATCTTTCCCCGAGAATCCCTCCCTCCTTTCATCCCTTTTCGAATTACAAATGCATCGAGGCAAGGTTCAAGGGAATCGAGCTTCATTTCCGCGTCACGCATCAAAGTGCAGAGAAATTCACACTTTGCCGAGCCGTCCTTACGACTCGAGCGAGCGAGAGAGATAGATAGATAGAGCGAGAGCGAGCGAGCGAGAGAGATAGATAGAGCGAGAGCGAGCGAGCGAGAGATACGAGAGCGAGCAAGCGAGCGAGAGAGATAGATAGAGCGAGCGAACGACAGAGATAGATAGAGCGAGCGAGAAAGGGAGAAGAGAGAGTGGAGTCGGCAGCCTGAGCAGGGCACACACTGCGCCGCGATATCCTCGTTAAATCTTATCCCGAGAGACGGTGGACCCGCGGCGGTGCTCGTTATCAAAGGGATCCCCCTATGTTTTAACAATATACTTGCGAGACGGTGTACATACTTTGCCGTGAACAGGTCTGGCTTCCGCGTGAACAGTTGTGCGCACTTCCGTGTCTGGCCGAGGGTGGTTTCTCATATTTTTCTCGCGCTTCTTTTCGCGATGCAGCAACCTCGAAGCAAGAGGGAAAATTGTCATTAAAAGGGGGGGGGAGGGGGCAGAGGCGAGCCAGAGGCTTTCTGTCACAATTCAGGAAATAGTTTTCCAATTAATTCTCTTTTCCAGACAGATTTTCGTCCTTTTTAATCATTTTCCAGATCTTCTTTTGTGCGTTATTTTTTTTTTTTTTTTTGGTTGGGATTCTTTACGAGTTGTTTTCAATTCTTCGATAAAATTAACAATAATCGTTCACACCAGTGTTTCGTTATTTTTTTTTTTCAATTACTAACTTTTTTGAATATTCGAGTTAATCTATAATTTAAATATATATAAAATAAGGAAAAGTAGTTCGTGTCGATATTTTTAATTTTTTTGTTGAGTTTTCTAGTTTCTTACAATATTTCTCAACCCCTCAATTTTCATCATCGGCGAGCTAGTAAGAGGATAATCTCGATAATGCTCGTGAGATGTAATAAAATACGAGTAAGTAATTACGAGGATAGTTAAATTTTGAAAATTGTCAACTAAAAATAACGGATCATCTTGATTTTAAATTATCGTTGAAAGAAAAATCCAACCGGATTAAACAAGCCTTGTAAATTCATAAAACAAGATGGAATCGAGAATTTATTTCTTCCAAGTGCACGATGCACAGAGCCCCAATTTTGTATTTATCTTAATTTTACTTTCTTGAAAAAGATCAAAAATTATTATATTCTCGAAGTAAGAATATATTTGATCACGTTGCAAGTTAATTACACAGTAGACTTTTTTCGAAAAAATCTATCCTCTTTCCATTCACGTAAAAACTTGAATTAAACAGGAAAAACTAGAATCCCATATTCTTGATAATTACAAGGTAGCCAATGCATGCCGTATAATATTTTATAGATCGAGTTAGAATGATTAAATTACAGAGGAGTATGATAAAATAAATATTTCGATAAATACGATTACGATTAATTTCACATTTCGTATTATAATTTTCTCACGTATTATAATTTCTGATCAGTAATTTGTACGAGCTTGAAACAAAATTACTCAATCATTTTCTTTAATAATAAATATTGTAAGAACGTTGTATTATAATTTTCTGCTATACAATTTTTGCATGTAATTCAAAATTATCATTCTTCGAATCGAGAATCTTTCACTTCTAATATTTAAATAATTTACTTTCCCAAATATAATATTAAAATCATTAGAATTAGATTTTATTATTCCGATTTTAATTATTAATTCCCTCGTGAAAAATCACTGCTACATACTTAAAAAGAAGATACTATTATCACATTTTCCAAAATTTACAAAAAAAAAAAAAAAAAAAGAAAAGAAATCAGTAAATATCCATTAACAAATATCACATTGTTGCCGTAATCAGACAATAGAAGAGTTGTTCGAGCAAAATTAATTCGCATTACGCGTTTCTCAAAGTGTTCAACAACTGTCCCCAAACGTCGCCGGTGTGTCAGACATGAAAGCGAAGCGCGCTTTAATTAATGCACCGAGTAGGCAAGCCCCAAGTTTCCGTTTCCTTGAATTCAAAGCAGCCATCTGGGCATAGGCAGAGTCCCTGTTCCACTACCGAAAACGCGGCCCATGTGACGGTCAAAGCGACCAACTTCCGCTCTATCCATCATTACCTCTCGCTATTTCCCAATTTTCCACGTGGACGATCTTCCTTTTATCTTGGACAAATATATATTTCTCTATTTAAGCGAATATATTCGAATATTTGTAGTTTTCCGAGAAATTGTGCAACGTAGGATAATTGGATTTGATCGAGATTTTAAAATTATATCGTTTAGTTAATTATATAGTTGTATAGTCATGGAAATTTTATGCGAAGATGAGAACACAAAATTTTAACACGTATTATTATTAATCAAAAAATTGGAATTATTTTTCTAATTACATTAGAATCTCGTATTAAAATTAAAAAAAAAAGAAAAAATCAAAAATAAAAATTACGTGAAATATCTTATAAAAAGAATCCGATCAATAATTCTTCGCACATTTGTCCGAGAAATGCAATGCCTCGAATCGAGGAAGATATCTCCAAATAAAAAGAAGAAAGAAAGGAAAAAAAATAATGAGACATAAATTCAAGTTTATTTAAGCTCGAATAAGCAAGAATATTTCACTGTATCTTGTAGATGGTTCGTTAGCTGTCTTTGTATTATACGTAATATATCATGTATCAACCGCTATAAGTGACTGCTCAATCTCCTTTATTACCGCAACTGAAAAATCCAACGAAACCCATCGTGGCGATGTGTGTCGAACCGTATAAACCGCAAGAGTTAAATCTGATTAAAATGGATCGCTTGCGTGCGTTTCGCTATTAAAAACCTATTTTCCATGCTCGACTAAAAATACGTGACGACAATAACAAGTCGTCTCTGCAACGAAATTGTACAATAACTTTGTCGGTGGACCGAGCACTTTCCACGAACGATATTTTCGAAATGAAAACTTATTTCACACGAGATAATTTAATTAACGATGCCGTGTAATTTTCATTTTCATTTGGAATTTTTTTAACGCGAAGTTCGATGAAAATTATCATTTGTGCTTGTTGTATTTTATTTAAAAGTAACGAGTGTTTTGTTCATTCCTTTTTTTCTTTTTTTGCAAGATTGGTATTTAGGTTGTATTTTATTGGTATTTAATAGAATATGATTTCATTTTACTTTACAATATAACATAACCTCGCTTAAAAAATAAAACTTGTAGATTTTCATTCGTTTCATCATATTACGTTTATTATGCAACAAGAGAGAACTTACTAACTTATAAAATTTCTTTAATAGTATTATTTTGATTGTGTAAGAGTACGCACCGTTTGTCCTTCGATCGATTAATCTAAAAAAAGAAAAAAATAAAACTCGTGGGTCTTCGTTCGTTTCATTGCGAAACGTGTTACAAGATTATACAAGAAAATTCACTAGTCTAGTCTAGTCTAGTCTAGTCTAGTAACTTGAACAGTAGTCTAGTAACTGATCTAACCTAAAATATAAGACTCGTACATCTTTATTCGTTTCATTACGAAACTTGTCACTAGCATGCAATAAAATTAATAAATTATTAACTCGTAATTATAATAAGATTTTTTAAAATTAATAATTATTCATAGATGATTATCGTATAATTAATTCAATCGTAAAATAGAGACAAATATTATTTGTTCGTATAAATGTATAATTCCACTGAAAAATGTCAACAATTATTCAAAAATACGAAACAACTCGTATTATATTTTTTTTCCACCGGTTACCACCTTCCTCTATGGTTGGACGGTACATCAATGTTCATTTCACGCCATCATCATCGCTCTCTTTATTTTCTCATTCGCGATATTTAAAAAAATACGCAACACTGCACGTTACGAAAAATTTGCCGCAATATGCATATCTCGACGTGTCGTTTCATATGATGTCACTGTCCTCCCTCGAAAATACAACATTTTACGACTTCTCTCTCTGCCAGAACTGGAAAGAACGGATATATCTGTTGCATTGGAACTGACAGTCTCTTTCCATAGGTTGTCGTTGCCTTTGAACGAGGCTGGCATATAAATGCATCGTTGCCCGTGACGAGAAGGTTTCCAAGCGATAAAAGCGTAAACGCACGGGTATATCGACGACAGCTACATTCACGCGATTCGATCGTGCCAATCGTTTCGCTCGTGTCTGGCCTTCTTCTTATTCCTTATCTCCTTTCCTTCATCTCTACTAACTCGGGCCAAATGTTTGGACTTTTCAACTTTAACCATATATACACCTTATCTTTTCGCAAGATATTTTCACAAGAATGTAGATATGATTGTTTCGTGGGGGAGGAAATAAAATTTGTGCGTTTCGTGTCAATTTTTCTTGCGGGAGAGAGGAGGGAGGAATTAGGAAAAATTAGAATTTTTCTCTGTTAATAAAATGTGAAAAGGGAATGACAAAAATGGCGTGTTTTTTCAACTTCAATGTGATTATGATTAATCACGATTTTAAATGTAAATATTCGTGTAGATCCAAATTAACATTTTTAACAGGTTGTATATATTATGTATTATATGCCAACGTTAATCTAACGATGTGTACGTAAAGAAGACAATAATTTAATGCATTTTCGTACGTATAATTAAACGATAAAAAAGAGAAAGAACGTAATGTTGTAATAAAATATTTAAATGAAATGTAAATATTTGTATTTTTACATTGCTCAGCAAAAGTTCCAGCAGTTTATGGTGCTATTTGATTTCGAGGAACTGGCCAGGACGTATAATTTCTTCCATCAAAATGAAAATTGCGAAGAGCCAAGTCTGGCATCGCGTTTAATCAGATCGAATAAAGGGAAGCCAGACTCTCGCTACAATTTCAAAGGGATTCGTGGAAAGTTCGGAAAATACGCAAGAGGCGGGAGGTCTTGCGGAAACGAAAAGTGAAAAGTTTTGCGAAAAGTTTGGGAATAAAACCGAAGATCGATCCATGGTCGATGAAAAGACAGTTCGATTGTTTCAATTTGGGAAGATTGTCCGCATCGTTCCACGCAACCACGGTTGCCAACGTACGACGGAGTTAAAACTTCCCAATCTATCTTAAAATAAAACTAGGGAAGCGGAAGATGGAACGTTTCACAAAATGAATTTTTTCTGATTTTCATTATTTTTTTAGAATATTTGAAATATTCAAACATTTTTTACATTTCGATCTCATGAAATTTTATCTCAATTTGGGGACAAAAAGTAATGATAATTTATGAAAATTTTTATATTTGAATGGAAAGATAATTGAAATGAGAAAGATCGAATTAAAAAAAAAAAAAAGAAAAACTTAATCATATCTTTTTCTTTTTTTTAATAGTATTGTAAAAAATAAAATATATTTTCTAATGCAATTTATAAAATTTATTAGATTTATAACTTATTTTTTTTTTTTATTTTTTTTTTTCTTTTCAACGATCAAAGAGGTGTATTCGTGTATCTATAGATGAAAGCGTACATTTGTCGAGAAGCGGGCGGAAACAATTTCGAACGAGCAGTATATACGTTTTCCATTGGACCGTA